TACACAGATCACAGCAAACCAAATCTCCAAATCTAAAAGAAAACACATGAAACCCTATCCCTGCATCTAATGGAAGAAAATGAGGCGCCCTGGAAGACATTCTGGTTCCATTTAAAAGACAATAATTGCAGCTCCTAGCACTTTAGGAGAACCAAACTCAGGGCATCCCACAGTGAACCCAAATACCAAGTTTGACCCTCGCAGCAAGGTCTCTGGGAAGGCAGGGAGCCCTGTCTTTCTAGGGTCAATATTCCAGCCGTATTTTTTTTCCACTCCTGTGGTTTTTACTCCCGGGCAAAGCCCACAAGCACATCGAGATGAGCAGAGGTCTTGTTTAGGGCAAGCGAGCCAATTAGGCATGCAGGCTTCTCGGGGAGGTAGCTTTCTGAAGAGTCCACATAGACATTAAGCACCTGGGAGATAATACTAGAAAAGGCATCCATTGTGCCTTTGGAAGGTCCCCGTGTCTCCGAGGCTCTGCATAGCGCAGTCGGAAGTTGTCCTGCACCCGCTGTGAAAGGACATGTGCTGAGAATGATCTCTTCCTTAGACGATGACAGGCCTCTGGACAGAGGGAGGTACCGGCACTGCTCACCCTTGCCCCCTGGTGTCACTAGGAAGATCCCAGACAAAATACCGAGCTTCCAAAACCAGGCTGAGGCTGAGCCTGTGTTGTGGGGGCCAGTGCACAGACCCGTAGACCGTTCACAGAAGAGAACTTCCAAGGAAACCACACTGTCCCCAGGAGGGGCATCAAGTGTCGTGAAGGGCTTGGGACAGTGGCTCAGGGAAGAAGTGGTTTCTAGCCTACTGAATTGAAACAGGTGTGAAATGTGGGCTCTGAATGGCACACAGGGAAGGGCCCACAAAGAGGCCTGTGGGGAAGAACACGTTTGGCATTGTGCTCCATACCTATTAGGAAAGAGCAAACAGGAGATGAGATTAGCAGGGTCAAGTTTGCTGGTTTTCATGGTGTGTGTGTGTCGAGGGGTGGCTAAGGAACAGGGAGGGGGCTGAGGGGTGTAAACCACTTGGGCTTTTTACACGTAAAGGCTGCGGCCATCAGGCATAGGTAGGTGACATTGGAGACAGGAAGCCTGTGATCTGGCAAAACCTCTGGGTGGCTCCGAAGAGCTAGGGGCTGGCAGAGAAACTCCAGAGCTTGCAGTGCTCATGAAGATGAATGTTATTCTGTCTCAACAGGAGGCCAGCAAACAGCAAAAGTTCAACCACTTTGCAAAGGGCTTTTCTGCGGGGGCAACACGGGTTTTTTTGCTCTCTTCCTCTCGTGACTATAGGGTATACACCTGTCTGCTGGAAGCTTGCTAAGTTATTCTCTTGGAGGACCTGGGATGGAATAGAGTCAGGCCACCCTCCAGCCTCTTAAGTCTAGTACGTGTGTGGCTGAGCAAAGAGGATGGTGAGTTGGAGGCCAGCTGCCATGAGACCCACCCTGTCTTGGGAAGGAAGGAATATAGGAAGGAAGGGGAAGACACCTCCCTGACTCACTAGCCGCGTGATCCGGCCACTTTCTGTGCTTCTCGGAGCCTGTCTCTGATCCGACGGCAGGGGCGAGGGTGGTAGGTCTGGTTTCATAGGATGGTGAATTTTAAATTTAATGAGATACTACACTTCAAGTACTTCAAACCATGCCTAGGAAGTAAAACTCCCTTAAAAGATGTTAAATTTTATTCTGCGTATCCTGGAGCAGCGCTGGTATTTATACCTTGCTTTTAAAAAGCTCAAATAAGCCACTGTGAGTGTTCAGAGGACCTTGACTTCTCAGCAGCTTTAGTTAACAGGAAAACATGCTGTATAGAAATTCAGATGTGAAAGGAACGTGGTGTATGTTGCCTACCCGGGTTTGAAATTATAATTTGTAATATCCCTCACCTCCTGTGAACTAGAGAACTCATCTTACACAATAGAGTCCATCCTTGAGCGTCTTTCACTTGGGTATTTTATTGTATTCCAACTTTCTTCCTGTGTCCTCATTCTATGCAAGGCTGCTGGGGTGGGGGGCGGTGAGCGGCCCTCCGCTCATTTCCTTCTCAGTGTGTGCCAACCAATGTGAAGGAAATGGAAGGTATTACTGAGCTGGTGTTGTTGAAATGTCTATACCTTACCCTTTCAAATGACAGACAGTCTCATAGGAGGACACCTGCTGAGCCCCACCTTCTGTCCCATTGTGCGAACATCTGTAAATATTCTGCCACAGGAAATCACAGTGGCTTCCACTCACCCAGAAGCCGTGTAAGCCTCATGCAGAGCCACGGGTCACACCGGCTCAGCATCTGAAAGAGAGAGCTTGCAGCACCCTCCTTTGCTTACTGTTGTGGATTCCACCTCCACAGACAAGCAATTCCCTGTGCCCTTAGAGAAATTCCCAGTGACCCTAGAGACAGGGTTCGTCTCAGCAGTAGACTCAAAGCTCAGTGGAGAGTGACTGGCAAGTAGGACTTTTCTTTGCCCACCAGGGTCAGGGACTGAGCTAAGCTGGGAAGCAAAGCTTTGGGCAGGGAAACTTGGGACCATGGTCTGCTTAGAAGCCAGGAGCAACCATTGCATATCAGTGCCCCAAGGCAGTACCTGAGGACTGAGTGATAAGCCCACTCACTGGGTTTGAAATGAGCCCCCTAAAGGAAGACCCCTTTCCAGCACTAGAAGAGGTGAAGACCATGGGACCTTGATCTTCTGTGGATGCTCATAGGAACATAAGTTGAGAAGGGAGTCAAAAATACGACTGACCACTCGTATTCCTCATGTGCACACAGCCTTACGCACACACTCACTGCTGGGTGACGGGCATTCTATAAGGAAGCACACCAAACCCAGATGTCATGTTCTCTCCAGAGGAGATTTCATTAAATAATCACAATAATCACAGGTATTAGTTGCTGCGAAGGACTAGGCAAAGAGCACTTTGAAAAGCACAACAAAGGGTCATGGTCTCAAATACGCCTGGGAAATCTCCTGCGGACATAGATAGGAAAGCTTGAAGATGCCGGAAGCCTTGACTCATCCACTGTAATTATGGTTACCAGAACTATTTCTTCGTGCGTTGGTATGTGGCACAGGCCTGTGTGCCTGATGAGGCCACCATGCTGTTTCAGGGCTTCCTTCACATTGGGAAGACTTTGCCCATGGCACATTGGGGTAGACGCGATGCAGAATTTTCCTACTGAATAAGTAACAAGCTGTTAAGTACACAATGAAAGCGAGGGGATGGGTGATTGATAGAAGCTGATGTCTCCCTGTCCCTCCTGTAGCCTGAGATTAAAATCACTGAAATCTCCAGCCTCTGCAGCAGGAGAATGGCACGAACGTGCCCAGGGAATGCCTGAGATGGCTCGCGTAGCTTCACAGGAGGCGGCATGTGTGTCCCCATCCCCAAAGGGATCAGACACAGACATGGGGCAACTGAGTCCCCTTTGGCAGGAGCATAGGGCCGTGTTCTCTGAAGAGCATGGGAGGGGATGATAGCACATGTGCCAGAGGCCAGGGGATGAGCTGGACAGATGGACAAGATGCTCCACACCATAACCATTGCTAACTGGTCCAGAGGAGTCGGGTGACTGAGTGTGGGGACCCTCGGTGTGCTGCTGTGGCTGCGTCCAGACATGCACGTAGAGATGAACGTTAACAAAGACACCCTTTTCCCCCTGTCACTTTGTTGCTTATAAAATGTTTGAATTCCAAGGGTCCTCAAAATCACCTTGAAAGGTGTTGGCATAGTCACCTAAAGAAGGCAGCGTTGAGGCTCACAGTAACCAAGTAATGTATCCCAGGTCACACACCTCAAATTCAACCACCTGCAGAGTCAATAACCTGCCAGTGCCAAGATGCTATAGTACAGGAGGATGGTGGGGTCTAAGTGTCTGAGCATTTGTGGGGTTTTCCATAGAGGATGTGCCTTCCCAAACCTTTAAACTTGTATTTCTCTCATCTCCTTGCATGTTTTTTTCTTGTCTTCGGTACACTGCCAGTTTTATAGGCTCAAGTATGCATGGGCTTGAGGCACTTGGGGTATTATTCTTTCAAGCTCTGGTGGATGGTGCCACACTTGTGCATGTACAGGAAGCACTAATTGGACTCAATGAGTTATTTTTTAAAAATAAGTGAAGAAGAAGAATAGGACATGGGGGTGGGAGGGAACCTTTGGAGGGCCAAGGAGAATTGGGCAGGGTGGATATTACTGAAGTATATTATATGCATGTTAAAAAAAATAAAGGTTTGAATTAATAGAACATTTCAATTCCAGCTTTCTGCACTGGTGATATCAGCACTGGCATTTTGTAACACATATCCCACCCCCATGGTTTTTTGGTTTGGTTTGGTTTTTGGTTTTGGGAGGTTGGTTGGTTGGTTGGTTGTTTTTCTGCCAAGCCACAGGAAAGAGTTCTGATGCTCAGATCTCAAGGGATCAGGTAACGGGGTAATGCGCCTGGCCACCTTCTGCCGGGAAGCTCCACGTTCGGCAGGAAGCAGGGCAGCTGCTTTACATCCCTGGCTCCTCTCACTTTAGAGAGTCACGTGGAAAGAGAACAGGGATTCGTTTGACTGATGGCACCGAAGAAGAGAAAATATTAGAAACAAGAAAAGGCCATCTTTCCTACAGAGGTTCATTTCACTCTCTGTGCCACTGCCCTGGGATAGCTGCCAGTTGTTAGCAGCAAGAGTAATGTTAGCCATTTTTTTAAATCCCACTCTTGAGTATTATGGAGATAAATAACTAAATGATGGAGAAATCACTTTCTTTCACGGTAGTGGTTTAAGAGGAGTAAAGAGAACTCAAAATGCAGATGATATTGGAAGACATGAATTTCCAATCATTGGCTATTGCTCTAGGTGCAGTTTTAGGAGTTCTTTTCTGCGTGGCTACTGCAGAGGGGCATCCAGCTAAAAGTGACGGAGGATCTGCGTCTGGAGATGCACAGACTCCCTTGAAGTCCCAGCAATGCTCCGATGCAACGTGATGTCTCTGTTCTGTTTCGCTGCAGGACCCATGCAGGAGACCATCTATGATTTCTGGAGGATGGTGTGGCACGAGAACACTGCCAGCATCATCATGGTGACCAACCTCGTGGAAGTGGGAAGGGTAAGCTGGCCCAACCGTGGCAAACGCCCTTTGGTTCCCTGCTGGGTTAGTGATAAAGAAACATGACCCACGCTCTTGACGTGTGACATATACTCCCAAAGAAAACTTAACTACCCAGCTTCTCCTGTTGCTTACCACAATGGCTTATACCTTTTCAGTAAGCACAGCCTGAATGGCCTTCATTTGTTGCAATAACAACAGACAGGGAATGCACTCAGGATTTAAAAGCTGTCGTTACCTGGCTATATTGAGCACACAGAAATACCTCCAAGCATTAGTGCTGGTTGTTGGGTGTTGAAACCCTATGGGTGGTACAATAGACATGACATCATTCTATAAGTCAGGGGAATTGACTCTAAAAACAGTATGCATTGCTGGGATCTGTCTGTGGACTAGAAACCCAGCATGTTTTCATGCTTCGATGTGCCTTGGTGTCCTAACCTATGAAATGGGAACCATAATCTGCCCTAAAGTTCTTGTATTCCTATCTCTAGTGACTATTATATGAGTTTTCATCTCGTTTAACCAGGAAGCTGATGAGCAGCGGTAATCTTAGCAATGGCATGTTATCAGATTATCTCCAGAGCACACGTTTTAAATGAGTAAATATATAGGGTACAACTGCTTTATAATGGGTTCAATTCCATGGTGCCGCTCAGCTCAAACGAAGAGCCCATTACTTCTTAGAGAAGCTGGTATTTATACCCAGCAAAGGCAGCCTGGTAGTTGCCCTAGAATTGAATTATTGAAACAAGAACCTTAAAGGGGAGGTGGTTCTTAAGGTTTCTACAATTAAGGCACAAACAAATATAACAATTGTCTCAGAAGAAGATCTCAGTAAATGGAATATACTGAAAATTCTCGAAAAGATGACGGACTAGATAACCTGACCTTCAACAAACATCTTGAAATTCTAGATAAATCATGCTTATTTTTAAACGTTCATATGCATCGTATGAGTATGTAAATAGACTTGCTTAAAATATGCAACTTAGCACTCAAGAAAGTCTAACTACCACAGACCTGAAGTACACTGTGGCCTGAAGATTGGGAAGGTTGGACATTGTAATATGCCATACACTAAGGACCAGAGATTGGAAAGATTGGACATTGTAATGTACCTTACACTGAGGGCTGGAGACTGGAAAGCTTGGACATTGTAATGTACCATACACTGAGGGCTGGAGACTGGAAAGATTGGACAATGAAATGTGCCCAGAAACAGGCAGGGGAGTTTTGTGTCCATCTTGGTCAGAGGTAGCCTGATTTTGAAGCCATAAAGATCAAGAGATAACATCTGGGGGCCATCAGTGTTAACATAAAATCCAAACCCATGGAGGTGGAGGGTTGGATAAAAGACAAAGTCAGGGAGGAAGTGGGAGGGAGAGAAGAGAAGGGAGCATCCGCCTTCCCTGAGAACATGACGGAGACATTGCTCCATCTTCACTTCAGATCCCGGGAAAGAACCCCTGCCAAACTCATGGGTCAAGATGAGACTGAATGTAAGGTCAAAAACAGTGTCACAGAGTCACCCCTCCATGTCGGTGGGTTCCAGGGCCATGAATTCAGTCAACAGTAGGTTCCTACCATCCACCAAAACAACAAAGAGAGCATCTGTTTTCAACATGTACAGACTTATTATCATTCCCGAAACAAAATAGTAAAACAGGTGTTGACATAGGAGGTACACTGTACTGGGAATCACAAGCCATCTAGAGATGATGTAACTCATGTATACAGGAGGATGTTGCCTAGGTTCCATGCAAATGCTATAGCAGTTTACATAAAAAGGAGTCTCCAGGAGAAGCCTAGAACCAATTCCCCATTGATATTGAGGGAGGAGTGTATAAACTCACAGGAAATAAATAAAAAGTTCCTAGATGCTCTTAATTTAAAAGAAAAATGAGACATCTAATTCAAGAAAGTGGACAGAGTAAAACCAAAGAAAATTGAGAAAAGTAGAGAAGAAATTTATTAAATCATAGTAATGAAGATTAGCAAATACAAACCTAGTTACATGAGATAGACAAACCTTTGGCAATGGATCAGAAATAAAAAAAAGAAAATAAATATCACCAATATTAGAAAGAGGATTGTATCTTTATGATAAGAGAATAAATTAATAAATTTGGTGATTTGTAGAAAAAAACATATTCTCTAAGAACAGTTCTAAAATAAAATAAAATTCTGACAAAACAAGTATTTAAAAACTGAAGCATGTCCAAAAGTCAGCCATGAAAATGTACTAGACACAAATGTGGTTTTTTTGGTACTCAATACTCAAATTTTGTATTATTTAATTTTATAAGTTATAAAATACAAATACCTTTTATATGTTTTTATTGATATATAGAATCAATAAAAAATGATTCTAAGGAAATAGAAAAGGAAAAATTGCTTTTCTGTCTTACTTTATGAGGATGGGACAACCTTGAAATCCATCCCAGACAAAGACCATAGGAGAAGAGAAGATTATAGGTGTCACAAATTGACAGGAAGAAATAAATGGGCCAATATGTCAAAACAGAAGGCCCAGATGTTGACTGCAGCCCTAAGTGGAAAGATATATAATTAGTGAGCTTTTCAATCAAGCCATCTGGGACATTTGCTTACCCATGTGGACCAAAAAAAGAAAAAAGATCTCTTCCTCATGGAATGCCCCCAAACAAGCAAAAACTAAAGACCTATGTATCACAAATAGAGCTTTAAAACTTGTAGAAAATAATATAGGAAAAAAATATTTAAGACTTTGGGTTTTTTAAAGACTGTTTTAAAGACAACAAAAGCTTGGGAAAATTGGAATTTTTGAAAATTTAAGCATGTAAAGTTTTCTGTACAGCATAAAATCTTTCAAGGCAATATTTTCTATACTGAAGGTAGAAAAGGCATTTCTTTCTTTCAATTCTGCCTCTTCCGGGAGCTGATGGGAGCGCAGGTGAGCTGGCTTGGAGCCTGGTCCAGCAGGTGCTGGTCACGTGGGCAGCTTGGAGGGGATCTCTCGGACCATGAGGAGCGGGATATAACGGTCCTGTGCTTCCAGCCAGTCAGACAGCCATAACAGATACCTTGGGCTGAGAGGCATAAACCAGAGCCATTCATTTCCTTAATGTGGCCGCTGAGTCCACATCAAGGTCAACCGATCCAGGATCTGGAGAGGGCTCCTCCTGGCTTTCACATGGTTACCTTCTCACCTGGACTTCAGGTAACATGGTGGATAGAGCCAGCTCTCTAGGTCTTTCCTTATACAGACACTAATCTTGTTGCATCAGAGTCCCACCCTTTAAACCCATGTATCCTTGCTCCTTCATTTCCAGATACAGCCGTCATGGGTCACGGGTGGTCAGGTTTCAGCATTTGAGTTTGGGGATATAAAATATTCTATCCATGACCACCTACCTACGTTGGGGAGTTCTGGTGTAGATTATGTGAGAATTTCTTCATGTCCTGGAGAGAAGTTTTTACCCATTATGAAGACTCAGTAAATATTAGGTATTAATTTCAATGTTCTATTTTCAAACCTCAGATCAGCAGTGATACATATAATGACCCTGATTTTCCTGGATATTATAGGGTTGGGGGTGGCACCAGAATTCATTCTCATTTAAGGGATGAGAGTGGGTGGCTTCCTGGACAGTGTCTAAGAGCAGTTGAGTATGCCCTTGAACTCTTCCATGGTGGAGCAGAGAATTCTCTTGGCCTTTCATTCCTCCTGAGGAACTGCACACGCATCCCAGTGTCTGGACTGACACCACAAATACTTAGAGAATGTGCACATCCCTGAGTGAGGCCTGTGGATGTAGTGATCCAGGTTCCATAGGCTTTTTCAAGAGCTGCATTGCGGCCTCAGATTGTAAGTATTGGGTTTCCTGAAGTAAATTATTTTGAAAAGTGAACAATCTGTAAAATAACAATGTCCACTAGCATTTAAGATAAAGTGTGTGTGTGTGTGTGTGTGTGTGTGTGTTTCCCCCTTGGTTGAAATTCCTAAGTGTGCTCTCTCCAGACTCAGTAGCCTTAAGAGGGGAAAGTCTTGACGCATGATAAATTCCTTCACTTTAAGGAAGGGTAGAGAAGGTGTGGTCTCTGATGTAAAGGCAGGAGAAGACTGCACTGTTCATTACTACAGTCAAGGGAGCCATAAAGGCTGGAGAGAGGCCTCTGCAGTTAGAAGCACTGACTGCTCTTGCAGGGGACCAGGGTTCAATTCCAACCACTCATGCAACAGCTCATAACCGTCTGTAACCCTAGTTCCAGAGGATCTGACAGTCTCTTCCAGAATCCTCCAGCACCAAGACATACACTCAGGCAGGACATCCGTAAACATTTTTTTAAAGAACTAATAATAATGTGCAAAAGACTGTTGGTACATTTTGCTGGTAGCCAGGTTTCATTTCAAGTGGTGTGGCTCTGCAAATATAACAACTGAAAATGTCTCATGGTGGCAGTCAGTGTTCCTTCTTCCCATCAGCCCCTTGGACCTGCCCTGTAAGGGGTAGTCACTGGTTTTTATGACAGTGGCTTTGCTTTGACAAATCAGTATGGAAACTCCAGGCAATAGGATGGAGCTGAAGGAGGGGCAAGGAGGGCATTAGGTTTCTGGTTTATTTGTGAATCTATATTCATAGGCTTACCAGAGATAAAAATGCTTGAGTTTTGTTTTCAGCAAATCCTAAACTCTCACCAGGTTGGTGGGGAAGGTGGGGGTGAGCTCAGAAGAGGCCTCTAGTCCCTTCATGGGGTTGTCTTCAATTAGTAGTGACATTAATGGCATCTGTTCTTGAATGTCTACCATGGATTTGGAAGTTTTGACAAGAGGTCGGGTCCCATCGGGGAAAGGCCCTGACCTTGTTCCGGGCTGCTTCTGTTGTTAGTGCTGCACATTTGCTTTGCAGCAGCTCCCCATTTCCCATGCATAGGAACACCACCAGCAAACCATCCAAGAAATCAAAATGACATGATTTTTAAGGGCAACCACTACCTACTTAACATGGGCACCACAC